TTCTTATTTTTCCACCTCTATTTCTGCTATAATATTGTTTTTTTATACCCTTGCAGAGGGTATTATAATTTTGTCCAAAAGTGTGCAACGCAGTGAAGGAGACATCTCCGACCCTATAAAATATATATATTCTTGATCAGGATCACCTCCTGAGTCGATATGAGCATGTCCGTCTGTCCGTCTGTCCGTCTGTCTGTCTGTCTGTTTCTACGCGAACTAGTCTCTCAGCTTTAAAGCTATCGACTTGAAACTTTGCACACACCCTTCTTTCCTTTGCACGCAGTATATAAGTCGGAACGGCCCGGATCGGCCGACTATATCCTATAGCTGCCATATAACTGATTGATCGGAAATGGTATAACTTTGGTGTTTTTAGAGTTAGAGAGTTCAAATTTGACATGAGAGCTATTTTTGGCAAAATAATACGACATGCCAAATTTCATAAGGATCGGCCGACTATATCCTATAGCTGCCATATAACTGAACGATCGGAAATGACCCAACTTTCGTGTTTTTGAAGATAGAAAGCTGGAACTCCAAAAGTGTGCAACGCAGCGAAGGAGACATCTCCGACCCTATAAAGTATATATATTCTTGATCAGGATCACCTCCTGAGTTTATATGAGCATGTCCGTCTGTCTGTCCGTTTCTACGCGAACTAGTCTCTCAGTTTTAAAGCTATCGTCTTAAAACTTTGCACACACCCTTCTTTCCTTTGCACGCAGTATATGAGTCGGAACGGCCCGGATCGGCCGACTATATCCTATAGCTGCCATAAAACTGATTGATCGGAAATGGTATAACTTTGACGTTTTCAAAGTTAGAGATTCAAATTTGACATGGGAGCATTTTTTGGCAATTTTTTTTTTTTTTTTTTAGACTTTATATTATAATAAATTGGGTTATGTTATTATATTCTCATTGGGATCGGCCAACTATATACGATAATTGCGATATATATCCACTTTTAACTGCAAGGGTATATCAATTTCGGCTCCGCCCGAAGTTAGCTTTCCTTTCTTGTTTTTTTTTTTTTTTTTTTTTATTATCAATCTGTCCGGAATTATGAACAATAATTAAATTTTTTAACAATACCTTAGCTTAATGGAGTAATTGAGTAATATGTTATAATGTACAAATATGATTTTTGCTTGTCCTACGAACTACTTTTAACTTTAATTTTTGTTTAAGCCTTGACGTTTCATTAGAATTTTATGGTGGCGTGGATAAATCTAGAAATTCAGCTCAGTCCTATTCGTTCGAGTGGCAAAGGTCCAGTGGGTGAGTCCGTTTCAGCCTCCTAGTGGTGTAGCTGTTGTCTAACAGGTTGATGGTTGCCACAATATTTAATGATTGTTCCTGTTGGATAATTTTAAATGAAACCACATCTGTCATAATAAAAAAATAGCAAAAAAAAACTGTACTGCATCACAGATCATAATTATGTCAACCGTTTTTTAATAGTCCCCTCGGTTCAGAAGTTATTCGCAATTTTTGTTATAAAAATTGAAAAATAGTTCTTAAACCTAATTATTAATATAAAAATAAGTGTTATATTTCAGTTTATAATAATAACTAGTTAAAAAGAGTTATATTTCAATTTTAACAAAAGAAATCGAAATAAAAGTTTATTAAGTTTTCGGATTCATCGTTAAACAAGAAAGGAAAGCTAACTTCGGGCGGAGCCGAAGTTTATATACCCTTGCAGCTAAAACCGGATATATATCGCAAACATCGGATATAGTTGGCCGATCCTTATGAAATTTGGTAGGATGGATCAAAATATAATCTGTACCAAGTTCCAGCTTTCTATCTTCAAAAACACAAAAGTTGGGTCATTTCCGATCGTTCAGTTATATGGCAGCTATAGGATATAGTCGGCCGATCCTAATGAAATTTGGTAGGTTGGATCAACTAACCAAAAATAGAGTCTGTACTAAATTCCAGCTTTCTATCTTCAAAAACACGAAAGTTGGGTCATTTCCGATCGTTCAGTTATATGGCAGCTATAGGATATAGTCGGCCGATCCTTATGAAATTTGGCATGTCGTATTATTTTGCCAAAAATAGCTCTCATGTCAAATTTGAACTCTCTAACTCTAAAAACACCAAAGTTATACCATTTCCGATCAATCAGTTATATGGCAGCTATAGGATATAGTCGGCCGATCCGGGCCGTTCCGACTTATATACTGCGTGCAAAGGAAAGAAGGGTGTGTGCAAAGTTTCAAGACGATAGCTTTAAAACTGAGAGACTAGTTTGCGTAGAAACAGACAGACGGACAGACGGACAGACGGACATGCTCATATCAACTCAGGAGGTGATCCTGATCAAGAATATATATACTTTATAGGGTCGGAGATGTCTCCTTCACTGCGTTGCACACTTTTGGAGTTCCAGCTTTCTATCTTCAAAAACACGAAAGTTGGGTCATTTCCGATCGTTCAGTTATATGGCAGCTATAGGATATAGTCGGCCGATCCTTATGAAATTTGGCATGTCGTATTATTTTGCCAAAAATAGCTCTCATGTCAAATTTGAACTCTCTAACTCTAAAAACACCAAAGTTATACCATTTCCGATCAATCAGTTATATGGCAGCTATAGGATATAGTCGGCCGATCCGGGCCGTTCCGACTTATATACTGCGTGCAAAGGAAAGAAGGGTGTGTGCAAAGTTTCAAGACGATAGCTTTAAAACTGAGAGACTAGTTTGCGTAGAAACAGACAGACGGACAGACGGACAGACGGACATGCTCATATCAACTCAGGAGGTGATCCTGATCAAGAATATATATACTTTATAGGGTCGGAGATGTCTCCTTCACTGCGTTGCACACTTTTGGACTAAATTATAATTGTGTTATAAAAATTATAACCCTCTGCAAGGGTATAAAAATGGTATATGTGTCCTTTTCCCGTTCCCTACAAAGGCTTTTTTTTGGTTCAATTTTTTTGAACACATAAGTCTTATTTGCAGTCCCTGATTTAAACAATACTAATTGATTTCTACATTCCACGTTTGCGAGTTCTTTTTAAGGAAAATCCAGATAGCTCGGCAGATGGATGTTCGTCATCGCCAGGATGGCATGGTCTTCCTTTTTGAAAAAATTACGCTTTCCCTGATGTTTTGCGGATCAATCAATTGCCATTCGTTTTTTTCACATTTATCAATATTATAGTTTTAAGACACGTACAAAACGATTGAACCCCCGTTGAAAGATTTCCAATGTTCACTGAAATCACTGGAACAAAAAAAGAAGATTTGGTAATGTTTTTGACTGTTTGGGCTTTGATAGTCATATTGTTGAAGTCAGTCATACGACAGCGGTAAAAACGTATCAGGAAGTTATTCAGGTTACCAGCTGGTTATTTGATTAATTCGGTTGGGATTCACGCACTGGAAAATGCTTGAATTTCCAGTAAAATTTTTCACAGCATGTACTCATTGGAGGGAAATTCTGTTGGAGTGAAAATTATTTGCATCAAGTTGATCAGCTCGTCACGAACCAGTACACAAAGGTGCTCAACAAACACTATGGTGAAATAATTGTAACTTGAATTACCATTGAAGATATTACTAAGAGCGCGATCACAAATCAAAAGAAGTGTTCATTCAACTTTAATAATTACGGACAATAATCATGCATATTTTCATTTGTTACTTTGAGATTCGATGCCAGTCGAAGATTGAAAAGAGTTAATATCAGAAAAACTGATTCGTGAAGTGACTGACGTGGGCGACTAAAGTATCGTGTATCGGTCATACACAAATGGCAAAATATAGATTTTCAAACTATTTTAATGAGAAGGTGACAAATTTTCGGAAATTCAATTATTAATTATAATTTTAAAAAATGTATTAACAAACACAGCTGATTGGCAGTTGGAACGTAATACGTTTAGCTGAGTAAATTTACTTAAAAAGTAACTCATTATAAAAGAAGAGGGAAAAGCTATCTTTGGGCGGAGCCGAACTTGATGTTCCCTTGCAGATAAAATCGGATATAAATCACAAATATCGTATTTTTACCAAAACCAAATACCACTTCAAATCGTTTAGTTATATATCAGCTATAGTATATAGACGGCCGATCCTTATGCATTTTGGTAGGTCGGATCAATTGACAGCCGATCCTTCTGAAATTTTCTATGGTGTATTATTTTGCCAAATATAGAGTCCATAGAAAATCCAAATATAAAAATTATGGCATTTCCCATCAATCAGTTATACATATATGCAGGATATTCCGACTATTGCGACCGTTCCGACTCTATACTGAAAAGAAAAGAAGGGTGTGTGCAAATTTTTAAGTCAATTTGAGTCACTGAGAGACAAGTTTGCGTAGAAACATACGGACAGACAGACATGCTTATATCAAATCAGGTGATCCTGATTAAGAATACATATATGTACCTTATGGGGTAGAATACCTTCTACAAGGGTATAAAAAAAGAGCTCTCTCGTAGTAGGGTCCCGGGTCCTGGCTCCTTTACAGGACACAAAGACGGTGTAAAGAGGAGCCCTAAATTAATAGGTCGTAGTCCAATGAGTTCCTTTTGGAAACTGATTTTATTTTGTAAAGTTCTCTTATAAGAATGCGACCCTTTCTCAAGTGCGATAAACGCTCCACTTATGTATGTATTTATGTTAGGCATGTAGGGGATCGGTCCGATCCCTTGAAACTCTATCTTAAGAATTTGTGTATACAATAGTGTTCAATGCTTGAACAGATGGTTATCCTTTTACAATCGAATTTATGTCACCAAAATTTATTGATTTATTGTTACAAAATATTTTCCGAATATCTCTTTTATGATGTCATTTTTTAAATATTATTTTATGTTCCAATTGGTTTTGAGAAAAATCACATTATTTTTATCATACATCCAAAGATGCGACAAGTCTAAACGATATTAAACTGAAAAAATATACCATTTCATTTTAAATAACGAAACCATTTTTACGAAAATCCAAGACATCGATATCTGCGACTATCGATGTTTTTCCACCTTCATCTCTAAAAGATCACGCATCTATGAGTCATAAAAATAAATATCCGATTAACTAACTTCAACTTAAATATTATGAATAACCAGTGCGGAATACCAGATCAACAATTTCTTTGGGATGTATTTCAAAGGTGAGGATTTTATGCACAATGTTGCCACAAATAACAAAGGCTGTTTTTTAGAGTGGACAAAGATAGGAGTGGCCACATATCTGCGGATGAACTTCAAATCGCCCTTTCAAATGGTACATGGTCTGCGTTTAATCCAGAAACCATACGGTTGATGATTGGAATGTTTGATCGCGAAAATAGGGGAACTGTATCCTTTCAAGATTTTGGAGCCCTGTGGAAGTATGTAACAGATTGGCAAAACTGTTTTCGATCATTTGACCGGGACAATTCTGGTAACATAGACAAAGATGAGCTAAAGACGGCACTTACATCTTTTGGATACAGATTATCTGATCATTTAATTGTCGTTTTACTCCGAAAATTTGATCGATTTGGTCGTGGTACAATTTTGTTCGACGATTTTATACAATGTTGTATCGTGCTGTATGTAAGTATAAAGAACAAACGAATTTTTAAAATATAACTTTATATTTGCAAGACTAAATAATAAAAAGTTTCCCTTTAAATTTCTATAAAACTGAATGAATATATTTCTATTGGTTAAACTCTTTGTAGGACGGTGTATATTAAACATACATACGTTCCGATTTAATAGAATCATTCTTTAGGGAGGGATTCATGATTTTAAAGTTTATGTTTGTTTTTTAAGTCAATCTAGTCAAAGTTGAAGTATATCGAATATGACTGTTTTTGTACGGATTTTTTGGTGTTTAATTCTTTTATTACAAAGTTAAGCCTAGTCACACGTGTTACAGCGTCTTCAGAGTACTAGGCTTTAGAAAGAATTATGAACCAAATTGTTTAATTTATGTTACTGTGTTTTGTTGTACCATTTTGTTTTATTATGGCTTGGGTATGTTATTTTTGTTTTGGGGTTTGTTTTGAATAATCTTCGAACTAATACAGTATGTATGTATCTAAGTATTTTTCACAGAGATTAATAGAAAAAAAAACCGTCAAAAAAGTCTGTCTTTTTTTAGGCACTTTACTGCTTACTTTACTTAATCTTTCGTGCGCACCGGAGTAAAAGTGTAAATATTCCATTTAGCGCTACAATTTTCATACTTTATAAAATTGGTCTCGTTTTATTCAGGATTAATGAAAAAAAGTTGATATGAGTCATAAATGACACTTTTTTTTGTAAGTTGTACCGAAAAAATGGCTTTAAAATCCGAAAAACTCGAATAAAATTCAAAAATACAACATGAAACTATAGAGAAACGTCAAAAAATAACGCGTTTAGGAATTTTTATTTTTTTACTAATTAAGCTCAAAAAAGTATAGAAAAAAGTTTTTTCCGTTATATATGCAATATTTTTTCAAACAACTTTCTTTCTATGCTCGCCCATGCTCGCCTGTGGATGGGCCCCTTCACATTCAATAAGCAAATCTTATTTTCTGTCCGCCTGCCCCTGAGAATAGATTATTATCAGATTTTCTAAAGGTTAAACCTGTTTATTGGACAGGGCCCGGAGGAATACTAGGCTGTGTGCTAAAATATTTTACCGGGACTCTGTGCAAACCTCTATATCAGGAGTAACCACTCCCATTGCTCTGGTTTCTACTATGTTGTTGGATTGCTCTTTCATATATGAAACATGTGTGAGTCATATATCTATGTACATGTGTGATTTCAAGCATAGGCAAGGGACAATTACAATAACAATTTAATGTTTTCTTTTCCTATTCTTCTTTTGTTGTTGGATTACAAAAAACTTTTCATTGCAAAAAATTCATTCTTCTTTTTGTTTCTGTTAAAATGGTCGACTTGGAGCGATGAATTTCTTCTTCACAGAAGAAAAAATCTCGCAAAATGTTCGACAGTTACATACATATATATTTAACGTCATATGTCCAGTTTTCACAAATTTTTTTTTCATTTCATTCATTTCATTTTTGTCATTAATAGCTGATTTCAATATTATATGATGATTCATATGATTTTCAAAGTCTTCTATATCATTATCATGATATAATCAATGTATGTACCGACACGGAGCAATAACTGAGGGTTAGAAATATTTTTGCGCTACACCATCTCTGGAGTAGTTGGGCGGTACAGCTTTTGGCTGATGTGTGAAGGGTACTGGGTTCGAGCCGAGCTAAAAACTCCTCTTATTTTTTTTTTTTTTTAAATTGTACTTGCTGTGCCTTGTTTTTTTTACTTTTTTGTTATATATTTTTAATTCGCCTAAATATTTTTACTCTAGATAAGACCATATAAAATAAATAGGACCTAACCAATACACTGATTTTAAGACTTTTTTCTTTACGGTACTAGGCGTACAAGAACAAAGATTTTCCTTGGCAAAAAATTGGGTGAACAAATCGTCTTGAACATCAGAGCGGGTACACGAATCTTCAAAGAAGACGTGCGCGTTATATATTTATATTTAGTCATGTCCTCCACCTTTATATAGGCTTTTATTTTGGTTTAATATAAGCCGAGATATCAATTTCTGAAGTCTCAGGGGAAAACCGAGAAATTTGTTTTTTTCATATAAGTCCAGGGTGTTGCAGGTACGAAAACTGGTCTGTGGAGTGAAGGAAGGAAGGTGGAAGGTAGGCTAAAATAAGAAGATTGTCTTATTACAAGACTTTATTGTTTAGACGAGTTTAAATTCCATTTAAGTAATTATTCAATAATTTGAAGAAACACTGTACCTTAAACCACTGCACTATGGGTTTTTTACCTGTTTTTGTGGCATTAATTATTAACTCGGTCAGTTTTGGAGATATCGACATAAAACTTTACCAATCGTTATTTGATCCTAGGCACATATAGTATGAAAATCGTTCGGATCAGGAAACTATATCCTATGGCTCCCATAGGAACGATTTGGAAAAGTAAAGATAAATTAATGAAATTTAAGGAGCTGATATTTGTTGCTATTTAACACTTTCCCTGGGAACTATCATTTTAAAATACCGGATTTCAGTGTTCTTCCATAAAAATGCATATAAATTTGAAAAAGAAAAATTCCTTCATACTGTAGTATTAATCTTATTATTTTTTTTTTTCATTTTCTATAATATATCAATATTATCTAAAAAAAACAAGCTGGAATTGTTAAATTCGTCATCTTCGAGATAAACATTATTTTCGTATTCGTACGAAAGCATCTCAATTACCTCAATTGGAAGTAAAAGACTCTTTAGTTTTTTATGCATCTCGATAAATTAAGGACGAAATAATTGGATCTGATATTTCCATAGCTCTGTTGAACACATCAGCGATGGAATGTAATCGGTAGTGTTTTCTTGAATGGTGACGCCTGTCTGATTTATACAGCTTGTTTCAGGACTCAGACGCTTCTTCCCCAAAATAGCCGACTGGAAGCACCGTATTTTCCATTACTTCCATTAAAAATTGGTGGCTTTTTTTATTCAAAACGGCATTATCCATATTGTTATTTGCATGGGGTTCAAAAAAACATTGTACAGCCATTTGATGCTCAGCCCGGCCCCTTTCGTGTTCCAAGCAGCGACCAAATCGGCTTTGGAGAAAGTGAGAGTATCTAAGAAAAATTCAAATTGCACCAGTAGTGGAGAAAAGTGCACAATAAGACTAACAGCCTTTGCTCAGTATTGACAACGCTACAACATACACTTGGACGCATTGAATACTTTCTAGTCCTTCTATTTCAAAACTCTTCCCAAAGTGGAAATTTGTTTCCCAAAATTCAGCTTAAGGTGCATCTATAAAATGACAAAATGTTAGTATAGACACGCACAATTTATACAGTTAATACATTTAACATGTAGTATAAACCTGTGAAATCAGTGCCCATTACTATTTTTCTTTTTAAATGGAGTTTTAAACAAATAATCTAATTTCACAGTTCACTATGTGAAAATTGCAAACTTAGCGCACGTACTTTCCGATGCAACAGCTGACTTTGCAGCTGTTATGATAACCGTTAAGAATTAACATTTTGAGTATGAGGCATAATAGTTTAATGTATTCTTAAGGGGAGGGTAAGGTATTAATTTTTTTTTTTTTTAATTTTTTAAATTTAAAATTGAATGCATAATATTTGAAGAATATTGTGTCAAAATTTCAAGTCAATTAAAGCAAAATTGACGAAGTTATTAGTTATTGACGAAGTTGCTCATAAACGTTTTACACTGGATTTTTTTGTGTTTAAAACTTTAAAGCGTTTTTCCCACAACTCACGTTTTCAAAGTAGGTGCCCCTCATAACTTCAAAACTACTGCACCGATCCTTTTGAAATTTTAAACACTATTTCTGTACATATTTTACGAGGTAACGCTGTCGATTTTTTTTTTTTTTGTTCATAATTTTGATTTTGCAATGACAGATTAACCGATTTTTTTCCCAAAAAATTGAGTTTTTCACTTCAAAGTCTTCGAAAAAATTAAAAAATTGCAATTTTCAAAAAACCTTCATAGCGTTACCTGGGGCGAACTATTATCTAACGAATGAACTTTCATTTTTTGATTACAAATGATCCAGCACCGAGTTATGAGGGGCACCGCAATTCAACTTTTTTTGGCAACACGTCCGGACAATTGCTACCATTGCCATATTTTTAAATATTTTTTTGTAAAAATTTGATAAAACATTCTTCTAATGTCATACTTTAATATACCGTTGGTTGAATAAATAAATTTTAACTGTGCCGTCAGGAAAAAAACCACAAAAACATGGCTTTTTTCGCATGATTAGACCTTACCCTCCCCTTAATACATTCCCATTAATTTTTTTTAAATCAGAGAACTTTTAAAAAATGATTATATGCCAAAAACCCCATAGTGCACTGTGCCAAATAAGAGCCGAAGCGGGAGCTTTGGAGAGAGCGATTGGATTGGCCTCTATTGCACAAGATATAAAATAATTTAAGAAGAGGAAGAAGCAGAGCCGAGTTATGCTTATAACTAAAATTAAACAAATTATTAATTCGCCCCAAATATACGCGAAGCGATACGCCTAAAGTTAAAACTGAAAGTATCTCTAAATCAGTGGTCGGCACCCAATACATTGATATGATTTTAACGCATTAGTATTAGTAGCGAATAGCAGAAAGTAGGCTGTGAGCATGACGTTTCACACATTTATACTGTGTTTGTGTGGCAGAGCTGAAGCAAAGAAATTTCCTATGCGCACGGGATAGGGCCGCCGACCACTGCTCTTAATTCAATTTTCAAGTAAGTAAACATCGGTTTACAGCGAGTCTTATCGGATTCGGATTTATTATTTTTTTTTATTTTTATTTTTTTATTAACAATGATGTGTTATTTTAGATTATTATAACTAAAAATAAGGATAAATAAAGCTAAAAGAGATTCCAAAATTTTTCATTTAATTACATCTAGGGATAGTTCAGGGGATAATAAATGGGACAATAAGTTGTAATTTTTACAAATAACGCGAAATGGATCGTTTAATTTTTAGAAAAATTAGACCTAGAAATTGATAACCAAAGGGGTCGGTAGGATCTAGTTACTCTGTTAGGAACAGAAAACATTATTTTTTCAAGAAGTAATTTTGAGTCTTCCTGTCCAAGAATAAGCGCATGAAGTAGCATAAACCCCAACACAAGTACGGCGCTCTTTTAATGGAGGTAGGTTTAATAGTTTTAACCTGGAACGGATTTGGCCGAATTTATTGTTTTTCTTTCATCTTATTAAATAATATTTTTCTTATTGGAAATTAAGTTGGCTTTTTAATAAATTTTTTTAGAAAAATATACAACTCCTATATATGTATGTATATCATTTTTCATTTCAGACATTGACAACAGCATTCCAACAACATGACACTGATATGGATGGAGTTATTACAATACACTACGAACAGTTTTTAAGCATGGTTTTTTCATTAAAAATATAACTGTAAATATAACTATTCAAAAATAAAAATATTAAGTTTCAACAAAAAAAGACACTTTTTAACAAAATGGCCAAACAAAAAAAGGTTTTTTTTTGCTCAAAATTTAAAAATGTAAAAAATAGTAAAATTTTGTTTGCAAGTAAATTGCTTTGTTTAATACCTTTCGAATATATCCAAGTAGATTGTGTACAAATTTTAGATCGAGAATATTTTCTCATTTTCGAGAAATTAAATACGCTAATTTTAAAAAAACTTTTAAGAATTTTCAAAAATATTCAAGGATTTAAGAAAACTAAAGCGTAGACGAATTTATTGAAAAGAAATCCAACAAAAAACTATTCATAATAAGGGGAAAAATAAATATGATCTTCATTCAATACATTTTATTTTTAAAATTGTACTCTGAATTAAAATCACTTTCGGAACTCTGAAGTTATTTGGCATTCTGTGTAAAAAACATTTCTTTTACAAACATCTTTATTTTCCCAATTAAGTCCACGGAATTTTTTATTTTTAAACGCAGTCAAGTCCCAAGTTTAACAATCCCTATGGATCAACATAACTTTTCACATAAAAATAAAGTTTTTAGTTTTTTAAAATTTTATTACTTATTTTAGGCAAAAGACTGCAAGATTGTCATTAAAGTGAAATTGAAGTAAAATATGAGAGGAAGTGCTTGTGTGACCCTCCGAGTTATCGGATTGAAATTTTAAATTTCAAATAACATGCACATATGTATATATTAGAGGTCTGCATGAATAGCTAAAAAACGACATTCAAATTTATTATCCATTGGCGCAACCTATTTCCTCTATCTATTATCTAACTATTTCTAAACTAACTATTATCCATTTTAGCTATGGATAAACATAATTTGAAAATATATGCAAATCTCCCTGAGTGAACCAACTCATAGATAGAGAGTGAGAGAAGAAAAAAATAGAAATAGAACAAAAAAATCGCGTAAAAATGGTAACCGCTAACTAAATGACTTTCTATACTTTCGTGTTACAGCTATAAGCCCGTGGTTCTCAGACTAAAAGAGCAAAAGTGTCTGATTTGGAACTTAGCCTCCTATGTTAGACTTACACCCCGTTACAAAACTTTTCCTAGCCCTCTTCAGCCCTCTTCAGTTCAAAAAAATTGTTTTTTTTTTTTTTTAATACAAGCCTAACATGCCTATTTAAAGAGGACTGGTTTAGAACTTTTTAAAGAGGACTTCAGTTTTTATGTCCATAACATAACATGCCATAGGGCAAATATTTTTTTTTCAGAATTTTAACATTATTAAATTAATTGTTTATTAAAGCGTAAGTGGATGAGATGGCTATTAAATGGGTATTAAATATTCGGGATTCTCGAATACTCTCAATATTTTTTGTGACGATAGCGTGATTATCGCTTCGTTATTGGTGCAAAGGTGATTTGAATATTTTCAACAATTCATTGTGCTTGTTCAATAGAGCATCTAGCTCGCTGACGATACGTCTGGCATAAAATGAATCAAGGTTATTATGTATAATCACAACGTGCATTCAAGCGATTGGAAAGTGCCCTTTCGGAATCCTCGCCGCCCATAAAGTAGATTTGTAAGACTTTATGGTATGTGGTTCGTTTGGCATTGGCAGCAGTGAGCCCATTTTATGATAAACTTGGCGTCTGATTTTGAATGTAGAATTGTAACGTTGACCATTTGCATTAGTATTTCGAACTATTTCTGTTGCTCCTAACGATGTCATTTGAAAACATGAATTGAATGTTCAAATTGACTTCAGGAACATGTTAGAACCTAGATCCGTGCCAATAAGTAAGCCGTTTAATGGTTTAGGTGATGTTTCAATTTCTTGTAGTTGCACTTTTCCTGATGCACAACACATCCCAGCTGGCTCATTTTTGAATTTCAGAGCACGACAATGCGCACATTCCTTGTCCATAGCACCAATTACCAATTTCGAATGTTTCGAGATCTACTTGTATCATGGCACAAATCAGCCCTTTGCGTTTTCATGGCATTGCTCACTGCACAAAACACTCATAAATATAATTAATGTATTTACTTAATGATGAAGGATTTTTGCCCCAGTTAAAATTGAGTTAAAATACTATGGTAGTGTGAGTTTGTCAGTGTGATGAGGTAGTAGCTCCCTTTATATGCGATTTTTGGTATCTCACAGGATTTAAGAGGATAAAAAATAGATGTTGGCGGATTCTCAGACCTACTCAATATGTAACAAAAACTGTGACACGAAAATATATATAGAAGTATAAAACAGAGTCGGACAATTTTTATGAAAAGTCAACTTTCTAAATAAAAGCCTCAATTTTAAGTAACTTTAATATGCAGCCGTCTCATTTTTCCAATAATTATTTTCCATGTATTAACAATAACAATTAATTAACAATTAACAATTTTTTTTTTTATGTTTGGGGAAAATTTCCATAAAAACACGACGACTGTTTAACGTCACAAAAATAAGAAGTGAGACACAAGACTTAAGGCAGTCGTCGGTTTGAAAAAATCGTTTTTTTTATTTGCATAATTCTAATGGAGACATAATTAGAAACATGCCTTGCAAAGGATTTAATCGAAAGCATGCAGATTTACGAGATATCAGGCCTCGAACCCGGCCCCGCACAGGCTAGTCACAGGCTATCATTTATCTTTAAATGCGTTTTCCCGAAAATGGTGTTTTTCAAAAATCGTGGTAAGATTCTGACAAAACTATGAAAGATAATTGAAATCTGTAAATTGTCATTTATTCACAAAACATCTGGCTATGTTTAGACACAAGCTTTTTCGAAAAAAAATTTACGCCATTTTGTCAAATTTTGAAATAATCAAAAAAGTTTGTGTCTAAACACAACTGGGGTAATAAACATTAAGTAAACTCAAAAATTTTTTTTGTTTCCAGCTTTTGATGACGAGATCGGCGACCACAAAGTCGTCCATGTCAAAACGGCAGAGGTGCGCTCAAGGACACGCCAAGGGAAGAATTTTTCAAATATTCTTGTTTTCTTTTTTTTAAATTCAAGTTCAAGGATGACTTTACAAAATAAAAAAAAGTTTGTGCAAATATCATGTGTAGTTTTTTTGCAATCCATCGTCAAAAATAGGCCCGAAATTTGAGCGCAAAAGTAGACGACTGCGTTAAGACCAGGTTCCCTCGAACAATATTGTTAAGTTAAAAAATAAACTACAAAAATTGTGAAAGAGGGAAAGAAGTGAGGGTACGGGTCGAAACAGCACCAATGCAATATGACGTTATATATGGTACTTCGTTTATGTTCACCAGGCTTGGTCTATGTCGCACAAATTTAAGACGACACGACAAATATAAAAAACAAGAAAGCAAAGCTAACTTCGGGCGGAGCCGAAGTTGATATACCCTTGCAGCTAAAACCGGATATATATCGCAAACATCGGATATAGTTGGCCGATCCTTATGATTACATCATAATAAAACCAATTAATTACAATAAAAAATCTAAAAAAAATAATACCATTTCCGATCGTTCAGATATATGGCAGCTATAGGATATAGTCGGCCGATCCAAATGAAATTTTGTAGGTCGGATTAACTGACCAAAAATATAATCTGTACCAAGTTCCAGCTTTCTATCTTCAAAAACACGAAAGTTGAGTCATTTCCGATCGTTCAGTTATATGGCAGCTATAAGATATAGTCGGCCGATCCTTATGAAATTTGTCATGTCGTATTATTTTGCCAAAGATGTCAAATTTGAACACTCTAACTCTAAAAATACCAAAGTTATACCATTTCCGATCAATCAGTTATATGGTAGCTATAGGATATAGTCGGCCGATCCCGGCCGTTCCGACTTATATACTGCGTGCAAAGGAAAGAAGGGTGTGTGCAAAGTTTCAATTCGATAGCTTTAAAACTGAGAGACTAGTTTGCGAAGAAACAGACAGACGGACAGACAGACGGACATGTTTATATCAACTCAGGAGGTGATCCTGATAAAGTCTATACATATATACCCTTCAGTACCAAAAATTCCTTTCCCGACTTTTCCTGGCGACATGTTCGAAAAACAAAAACAAATTGCATGGGCTTCGTTTACTTAAGTCCGTAACGAAAGGGGAAACGAAACTTCTACCTGCCTTCGGTTTTCGACGATGATTCTCGAAGCTTCTATGTCATATTTTCGGTGCAGAGGCACGTGACAGAGAGACAATTAGAGAAATGTAGATGGAGGGAAGGGAGAGAAAAAAAATCGGTGTCAAAAACCAAATGAATGGAAGCGTCGTCGGAATCCCCATTTAAAAATATGTTGAAATATTTATATATATTTATGTTTATATTTAATGAATTTTTCTTATCTAATTATATGGAATGGACGCCCTAACGGCTAGGATGGAATCTATGTTTGAGCGCATGATGGAGAAGGTCTTGAGCCAAATAGCCCAAATGATGGCCACCGTTTGCAAATCCTTGTGCATACGCAATTAAATATAACCATATGGAATGCTAACGGCCTGGTAAAAAGAAGGCCAGAGGTCGAGCTATATTGCAAGACCCTCCAAGCAGACGTTCTCCTCATATCAGAAACGCATTTTACCAACAGATCATACTTGACTATTAGAGGATACGACCTCATTGCCGCTAACCACCCGAACGGTAGAGGTCGCGGGGGCGCGGCCATCCTTATTCGCAGCTGCATCAAGTATGAGGCACTTCCAGCCATGTGCGAAGACTGGGTACAATGTGCCCAAATTAAAATCTCCACTACCAACGGTGACATAACAATCGCCGCAGCATATTGCCCCCCAGGCACAACATCCACGAACAGGAATTCGGCTTGCTACTGGATTGCCTCGGCCCCAAGTTCATAATCGGAGGGGACTTTAATGCTAAACACCCCTGGTGGGGCTCCAGGATTACAAACCCAAAGGGCTCGGCCCTATACAGGCAGATTCAGTCCCGAATCTTGAGCTGTCACGCAACCGGTGCACCCACATACTGGCCTACGGATCCCCACAAAATCCCTGATGTGCTAGACTTCGCCATCTCCGGAGGACTGGATT